ACTATCTAACAAACCACCAAACCTAATTATCTACCAAACTACCAAACCTAATTATCTACCATACTACCAAACCACCAAATCTAACTATCTTCCAAACCACCAAACCCAACTATCTAACAAACCACCAAACCTAATTATCTACCAAACTACCAAACCTAATTATCTACCATACTACCAAACCTAACTATCTACCAAACTACAAAACCTAACCATCTACCAAACTACCAAACCTAACTATCTACCAAACTATCAAACCCAACTATCTTCCAAATGACCAAACCTAACTATTAAACAAACTATCAAACCTAAATATCTACCAAATCACCAAACCTAACTATCTACCAAACTACTAAATCCAACTATCTACCAAACCACCAAACCCAACTATCTACCAGACCACCAAACCCAACTATCTACCAAACCACCAAACCTAACTATCTACCAAATCACCAAACCTAACTATCTACCAAATCTCCAGACATAACTATCTACCAAACTACCAAACCTAACTATCTACCAACCCACCAAACCCAACTATCTACCAAACCACCAAACCTAACTATCTACCAAACCACCAAACCCAACTATCTACCAAACCACCAAACCTAACTATCTACCATACCCCTAACCCAATTATCTACCAAACCACCAAACCCAACTATCTACCAAACCACCAAACCCAACTATCTACCAAACCACCAAATCTAACTATCTTCCAAAGCACCAAACCTAAATATCTACCATACTACCAAACCTAAATATCTACCAAACTACCAAACCTAACTATCTACCAAACCAACAAATCTACCAATCCTAACTCTTAACCAAACTACCAAACCAAAATACCTACCAATTTACTGTATCTAACTGCCAAACCACACTACTAAACCAAACTACCAAACAAATCTACTAAAACACACTACTAAACCACCAATCCAAACTACCAATCTACCAAAATATCAAACCGAACTACCCAGCAGCTGTTTCTTGTGTGAATGAAAAGCTTGGAGAAACACTGAAGGTCAAATAGTTAAACTTGTCTTAACACAAAGATTAGCTGTCTTTTTTGGGAGACAAACATCATTTCTTACATTTTCTATTGATTGACTCTTCAACTTACACTTTTGCAGGTTTACATTAGACCACTGTTTTAGTGAAAATTGATCTGGAAGGGGCGCAACAGATTGATTTGTCTGTGAAAGCATCATCTTCTCACAGACTGAAAGATGTCAACCAATATTTAACGTCACATAAAAACTGTCAGGAGACCTAAAAGAACCCAAAGAGCCTGAAAGCCTGCGCTGGTGGACTCACCAAGGCAGGCCGTTTGGTTGTCGCTCAGTGTGAATCCAGCTGAACACACACACATGTATGATCCAGGCGTGTTCACACACTCTCCTCTGGAGAAGCAGAAGTTTCCCTCCAAACATTCGTTAATGTCTGAGAACAGAAACATTTACTGACCCATAAACAGCTCTAACAGAACATTAGAAGGTATCAACCTGTACTGTAATATGATGACATATTATCTGGATCCAGTTCGGACCCTCTCACCTCGGCACTGCCTCCCCAGGCCGGAGCTTCGATACCCAGGCTGACAGTTGCACCTGAACGACCCGGCTGTGTTCACGCAAACCTGATGTGCTTCACAGGCACCAACGCTCGCACACTCGTCCACATCTGCAGCCGAAACATCAGCTGAACTTTGTACCTTACAATTACACTTTTACAGTCCAATAATGATAAAACAGAAATAAGTGGTGTCCCTATAATCGACTGTATCTGTCCACCACTATACTATACCACTGAGATGAAAGATTAATGTAAATTTACATTTCCATGTTTATAATCACACAATTCCTAACTTTGAAAAGGATTTTTAAACTTTTTTAAACAAAAAAAACAAAAAAGAATGAGTCCAATTTACAGATTTTCTTTCAAAGGTTTAAAAAAACAAAGTTGACAGAATAAAATTCCTTCTTTTATAAAACAGGCTCCACTGCTGACAGTATCAAACCAGTATCAAAATTAGAATCAAACTTTTCTGTTTCCAGTTTAGAACCACTGAGGAGGGTCAAATAAGAAAGTAGAAATGACATACTGACCTTGTTTTCTGAAGGATTAGATGGACTGTTGTCTTTAAAAATCTAAATTACAAATAAAATCAAGATGGACGAGTGTGTTCTTCTCATGAAACCACACTTCTGTCCCTCCCCAGGGAAGGTTAGCCCAGAGTGTTGGAAGACAGGCTCCGATCCATCATTGACCCTCTGACACCTGGGGGGCCACGTTTTTGTTTCTTTGCTACTTCCTGACGATATTTCAGGAAACTGCATCCTGTTTTGGAGGCTGATTTTGGGTGTTTGTGTGTGTGTGTGTGTGTTTGTGTGTGTGTGTGTGTGTTTGTGTGTGTGTGTGTGTGTACCTGTGCACTGTCTGTTGGTCAGTGTGTATCCTGGACGACACGACACACACCTGTAGGACCCCACAGTGTTCACACACATCTGTCTGGGACACTGAGAAGGCTCTGCACACTCGTCCACATCTGACCACACACAGATCAGGGGTCAGTGTTGGACAGACTCACATCTGACTGGTCTGAAGGTGAACTGTTGTACCTGTGCAGGTGTTGTTCACTAGCTTGTAACCATGGCGACAGACACAGCGGTAGCTGCCAGGAGTGTTTTCACAGCGGCCGTTAGAGCAGGGAGTGCGACGGCACTCGTCGATATCTGTGGACAGAATCACACATAAGAGGAACACAGAAGTTCTGATGAGTTCTGTTTGTGAGCCACAATTGGGCTGCAGTACCTGTGCAGAGCCCGTTGAGCAGTCCGAACCCTGGCTGGCAGGACGCACAGCGGAATGAGCCCTGAGTGTTGATGCACTCCTGACCAGGACACAGCAGAGAATCCACACACTCATCTACATCTGACGCACAAACATGACTCAGCATTAACACACTGTACACAAAGGTCCTAAACATGAGTCAGCATTAACACACTGTGCCAAAGGTCCTAAACATGAGTCAGCATTAACACACTGTACACAAAGGTCCTAAACATGACTCAGCATTAACACACTGTACACAAAGGTCCTAAACATGAGTCAGCATTAACACACTGTGCACAAAGGTCCTAAACATGAGTCAGCACTAACACACAGTACACAAAGGTCCTAAACATGAGTCAGCACTAACACACACTACACAAAGGTCCTAAACATGAGTCAGCATTAACACACTGTATGCAATGGTCCTAAACATGAGTCAGCACTAACACACTGTACACAAAGGTCCTAAACATGAGTCAGCACTAACACACTGTACACAAAGGTCCTAAACATGAGTCAGCATTAACACACTGTACACAAAGGTCCTAAACATGACTCAGCATTAACACACTATGCAATGGTCCTAAACATGAGTCAGCATTAACACACTGTATGCAAAGGTCTTAAACATGAGTCAGCATTAACACACTGTACACAAAGGTCCTAAACATGAGTCAGCACTAACACACTGTATGCAATGGTTTTAAACATGACTCAGCATTAACACACTGTACACAAAGGTCCTAAACATGAGTCAGCATTAACACACTGTATGCAATGGTCCTAAACATGAGTCAGCATTAACACACTGTATGCAATGGTCCTAAACATGACTCAGCATTAACACACTGTATGCAAAGGTCCTAAACATGAGTCAGTATTAACACACTGTACACAAAGGTCCTAAACATGAGTCAGCACTAACACACTGTATGCAATGGTCCTAAACATGACTCAGCATTAACACACTGTACACAAAGGTCCTAAACATGAGTCAGAATTTACACACTGTACACAAAAGTCCTAAACATGACTCAGCATTAACACACTGTATGCAAAGGTCCTAAACATGAGTCAGCATTAACACACTGTACACAAAGGTCCTAAACATGAGTCAGCACTAACACACTGTATGCAATGGTCCTAAACATGACTCAGCATTAACACACTGTACACAA